TCTTCGTTTAAAGACATTGATCGCTTTGGTTTAGGAGGTAGACTATATAATTCCGAGGTTTCTATGTCGTCCTCGCAACTGTAGGATTTGGATCGTTTTCTCTGATGACAATTTTGCAGTTCAGAGAACACCTTTCTATTGCATATAGGTTTCGAATAAATAAATATTTGTCTGCTAATTTTACTGGAAGCCACTACAACAAGCAGCACTGTATTAGATTTTATTTCTTCTCCAAGAGTAATGTAATATTTGGAGAGTGTTTGCGCTTTATTGTGAGAATCGGTCCAGACAAATAGCACCTGTTTGTGCCAACTATCTACAGAATTAGCCGACGAGATGTTGATGCCTTTAAGTTTCTTATCAAGCAGAGTTTTTGCATCTTTAATTGTATATCTTCTATTTTTCTTTTTCTTCTTATAAAATTTCACTGCTCGAGTGACTGAGACAGCGATACGTTTGAAATCAAATAATAATACGACGAAGTCAGTTTTTGCCTTACCTGGTTCTTTATAACTTATTTCATTTTCTAGTTTAATAAGTTTGGCACCATAACATCTGTGCAACATTTCTAAGGCTAAAACTTCGCTTGGCACAGAACTTCCGCCCAGGTTTGGATTCGTTTTCACTTTAGCCGAATCGGGAGAGAGTTTCATATTATTAATAGATGTTTTTTGCTTGAAAGTCATTAATAGAAAACCACTTTGGTCATTCGATTTCACCAGTTCCTTGAAACCAGAGATTAATTCTTCCACTTTAAAGTTCGTAGATTCGTATAGCGTTGTGTTTGTTTCGCTCATTAGGGGTATGAGTTTGTTGGAATAACGGGATGCTTTTATTGGGGACGCGACGCCTTTGACGTCATTCAGTCACTGCTAGCCGCGTCTCCACCAATCACAGCAAGGCAGCACTACTCTTAAATTAAATGCGCATATTTGATTTGAGTGATCAACACGAGGCTTCGGATCTGACTAATCAGAGACATTCTCGTTCTCAGATCCTCCTCGGTTGTCGTTCCTCCCCGTCAGCTAGCAGAGGTCAGAGGCTCTGGGAAACCCTACAACCGGAAGCAAGAGACACGAGTGAAAAACGTCTGCGCATGCTCTGAATCCGTATGCAAGTTAGTCAAAACATAAGTAAATTACACTTTCAAACATGCCTGATAAATTGGACTTCACAAAATGCCAAAACGTAGTGTCCATGCTTGAAACTTTAAGGCTAATTCTTTCACATTGTGTTTGTTGATACAGTATCTTGGTCTGACAAAAGTATACTCGCGAACTTTTTCGTATACTTGGAGAAAACAAGTATTTATTTTCTCACTCAAACTCTTCAAAATTCTTGGAAAACCACAGGTAGCTCAAGCGTATATATTATACTGCTTTACTATATGCATGTAATATATGGTACTTCATAAATCTTCATTTTCGTTCATTGAATTTTACTAAAATCACTGAAACTTTTACAGCGTGTTTTGGTTGTTCTTAGCTTCACTCTGAGCGAATTTCGTTCAATCTAACTGCACTTTCCCCACCGTGAAGGAAAGAAGGAGAAGGTAGGAAACGGAGGCTGTCCATGGGTCTTCGATCGGCTCCACTCCACTCCAAAGATGCCTCGGGGTGATACGGTTGGGAGGTCATTATGCCCCTCTGAGCCTCTCCACTGGTGTCATATTTTGTACTCGGTTCCAGGGATGGCCGCGCTTTTAACGGTTTTGCTGTCCACGGTTTCGAGCGCTGCGGATAAAATGTGGGTGCAGATTGTTGGTTGAGTTAAGATTTCAGTGAAAACGTACATCATCGTGGAGTGGAGCCGATCGAAGACCCATGGACAGCCTCCGTTTCCTACCTTCTCCTTCTTTCCTTCACGGTGGGGAAAGTGCAGTTAGATTGAACGAAATTCGCTCAGAGTGAAGCTAAGAACAACCAAAACACGCTGTAAAAGTTTCAGTGGATTTTATTAAAATTCAGTGAACGAAGATGAAGATTTATGAAGTCCCGTATATTATATAGCAAAACAGTACAATGTATACGCTTGAGCTACCTGTGGGAAAACGTGCTGAAGTGCACGCATGCACAAACGTTTTTCTCTAATGTCGAAGCAAGGAATATTGCGACCATGTCCTTACAGCGCATGCTCGAACTCTTTCCAAGACAAGCATGCGCACAAATCTACGACATATGGGAAGCTTGCATCACAAAATATATATAAACTGTTAGATATACAGATAAACTCACCAGTTATAGTTAATATATTTTCCCCCCMAAAAAACGGCGTCATGCGAAAGGGTATAATATAGTCTACGCGTCTACCTCAGAGAAAATTCAACGCAACTCTCCGAAGTACTCCGCATGATGAAATGTTTTACATTTTCGTATTGCATGTGATTGGATTAGGTCCAAAATGACACGCACGGAGACTATTAAGGGCCGGCAAACCGAATGTAGTGACTGTTTCGGCCTGAGGGCCGAAACAAAAAGAGGTTGACAGAGCCACAAGATGAATTTAAATTGCATTAAAGTACACCTAGCCACAGAAAACGTAGTTGTAACTAACCTGTTCTGACAGGGAAAATGGAACGAATTGAATAACATTTGACCTGTTTCATTTTAAATACTTCATTTCATTTCTTTATCAGTCAGTCGATATGCTACCGTGAAAGCATTATTTATGATTTAGTGAAAAATATGTTATTACAAAATGGATATGACCTATATTCCTCAAAAAGTAACCCTGCCTTAAAAGAATGATTGCAAATGGAAAAGTGTCTGAGGCCCCGTCCACACGTATCCGGAAATTTTTGTATCCTTATCCGGACATTTTCGAAAACGGTCTCCAGAGTGGAAACTTTCGAATACGCTCCGAATACGGATACGTGTGGACGGTCGTATACCACAAATTTTCGAATACGYTGACGTAAACACGATTTTGCGCATGCTCAATAAGAAAAACTATCCGTCAAAGGGATTAGGCACTAGCGTGCATCAGGGCGGATCAACAAATTTCCGGATACGTGTGGACGGTGAAAACGATTCGAAAACGATTCGAATACGCTGCGTGTGGACGAGAACATTTTCGTATCTGCCAAAAAAATTTGCGGATGCGTGTGGACGGGGCCTGAGACAGCACAGTCTACCATAAAGGAATACATTCCAAGATTTTTGGAAGGTGTTACATATACAGGTCATAGTAGTGAGAAAAATTAAGGCAAACCCCACAATGGACCAATCCCGGCTTAGCACCCAAACAATGCAGCTTTAGCCTTTAACAGCTTTAGCCTCATTTTGATGACTCAAATTAAATATGCGCATATTATTTAAGATCAGTGAATTCTTCATTCTGGACAATCAAACCAAATCTCGTACATACCCAGAGCCCACGTTTCTCTTGGTCAGCACCGAGAAACGAGAGCCTATGGCGGCGGCCGATTTATTTGAAAATTCTGATTGGTCTGGGGTGAAAAAAATATAGAAAGAGTCTTTCTGGAAATAAAAGGGCTAACGATTCTAACTGACACGAAAGTCTTAGAAAATAAGTGGATTTTTCCGTTACAATTTTGCTTGGATGGAGTTCAGGATTTCCTAGAATATGGTACGATAATCAATATCTTTCGTATTCCAGAAGTATAAGAGTAAGAGGCTTGCATTTAAACGCACTTTCACGAGAATTGATTCGAGGCCAGTTGGCAGCCGATCACTTTTGCATTTGCTTGAAACATTATTGGTGATTTTCCAGAGCCCGTCGGCTGAATAGCTCCAACAATGCATATTGATAGGTTTTTAAAGCAAGATTCCGATTATTTTATTTATTTATTTATTTTTTAATAAATTAATAGCATGTATGCAAACCTTTTCGCAACGTTGATCGAGATACGAAGCATATTAACCAGGTAAAGGTTAATTTTAATTTATTAATTAAAATCAATTAAGATTAAATTGGAAGTCCGATTCTCCGATTTAACACACTTTCCGCACTTTTCGTTTCCGTGTTTCACCGCGGCCCATGTTTAAACCTAAAAAAATATGTTAAAAACTCACAAAATAGCACAACTAGTTACACAGAGGACAAATTGAATAAGTAAACTTTAAGTAAGCAAAGGATAAGTAATTTAACTATAATATTCAATGCTAAGAAGGTCTAAAAACATGCAGCAACTCATCTAACATGCAGCAACTCGTCTAACATGCAGCAACTCGTCTAACAT